GGTAGAGCTGCCCAGCACAACCTGGATTCTGTGGAGGCTCTTACGGAAGCTGCAAAAATGCCATAACGTGCCTGCTCAGGAGAAGATGGCCTACGTGGCTGTTGCTGTAAGCCCGAACCTGTCTCTCCAGCGTCATCCCCTCCTCCTCCCCTCCTGGTTGACTGGTCCAACCTCCATCTAGAGTTCTGTTTGGTCTCTCTGCAACTTGGCTACTGTCATCCACAGAGGCATCCATGTGCCTCCCCCATGGGCAGAACAATCTACCAAGGGATTGACCTGGGAGGGTCGGAAGGAGAGATGAAATCTTAATGATTTCACGTTTTACACATTCCTTCCCTGATCCTTAAGTATGTATTGTCATAGAGTAATACAAACCGATGAAAAAGCATTCAAACGATATGAACGACTATAGAAGAGAAAATCAAGGCCACCGAGAACAGAGGTTGGCAAACTTTTCTATAAAGGACCAGATAGTATATATTTTAAGCTTCTCATGTCACATACAGGCTCTACAACATATTCTTTAGAGTTAAAAACAATAATCTTATAAAAATATTTTAAAACATTCTTAAGTCATGACTGTACTCGCTCCCTAGAAATGAACTTTCCAGGAGTATATATAATATAGAAAATCTTTTGTATATACATTTGGGGGTTATTTGTGTGTGTGTGTGTATGTATGTGTCAATAATTGTGCCTTTGATGTCCACTGGCAAGCTTTTAAGCCCCAATTCCCTGTTCATCAAAGTCGAATGTAGAACACCATCTTTGTGGGCTATGTTATGCCAATTGATATTGATGTCCCTCACCACCATGGTCCTAAATATCCAGGTCCAGTGGCCCATTCCACCAAGGTGTTTGGTCATAGCTAAGAAATTTATACATTTTGGTCCCCATTTGCTCTCTTATTTACATGGATATACTTACAGCTCAGACAAATGTGAATGTTAGAAATATCGTCTGCCAGGTTTCATCTATGGCCATGATTGTTGTCCCTTATCATCTTGTATCACTTACAGATTAATTTTTATCACTGACAGTTCAGGGTTGTGTGTGTCATACAGCATTTCCCCTTGTTGTCTGTAACTCTTGTGGACTTCTTCGTGCCTTCCTTTTCTTTCTAATGACGTTGTGCTGACAGTGCCCTCATGGCATGCCTTTCCTGTCCCCCAAAGTAACACATGCCTATTAGCTAGTGATTTTCTCTCCCTCCCTCAGTAACCTGTGTGTGCGTGTGTAAACCTTCTCTGTCTTCTTATAATAGTGGGCTCATGTAATATTTGACCTTTAGTGATTGACTTATGAAGTGCTTCCCGAGTTTCTTGTTATTCATTAAAGCTGTACAGATTCCATTGTGTGAATGTACCACCGGTATTTTTATCCATTCATCCATTGATGGACAGTTTTCTCTTTGCAGTGGTGAATAATGCTGCTATGAACATGGGACTATGTATATCTGTTCCCATCCCACCTCTTCTTCTTTGTAATACATACCTAGTAGTACACTTACTGAGAATCCTAGTGGCACAGCGGTTAAGCATTCTGCTGCTGACCACAATGTTGGCAGTTGGAACCCATGAACCTCTCTGTGGTGGAAAGATGTGGCAGTCTTTTCCATAGATATTTTGGAAATCTTACAACCAAAATTCAAACCCATTGCCATTGAGTCAATTCCAACTCAGAGTGACCCTGGAGGAGAGCTGCTCAGTATTCTTCCATGCCTCTCAGGGTCTTCATTTAGCTTAGTCAAGTTGTG